CAAGGATACGCCAAATTTAAGAGGATGCCCTGTTTTGTGGTTATTAAAGAGGCTTTCACATGCAACCAAAACTTTAGTTTAGTATGTATAGCAGCAGAACAGAAGCAAACCCAATTAAAATTATTAAATAATAAAAATAACTCCCTCTATTTATTGTACTATTAGAAATAGTTAAAAAGAAGTCAATAACAACAAAACCAACCCAAACGAAAAGGTAGACAAAAAGGTTTACAAAAAGAAAGAAATGAACAACACAGCAATAGCAAGACACCATTCTACAACCTCGTTTTTCTTCTCAGATAGTTCCTCATGCTTTACTTACTCTCTCTCTCTCTCTCTTCCTCTAACTTGTCTTTCTTTTCAATCGCTCAAATTGTGTTTCTCGTTTCGCCATATTCGTTTTCTTGAAACCCAAACCCTACCCATTTATTTCTCGCCACTGATATGACCCTTTCTCTTCCTCTGAAGCATCAAGATTACCTCACCCTGCCGTTCATTTTCTTCAATAACTCTTTAAGCGTTTCATCTTTTGATCCCTTTTCTTGTTATTCCGCCCATAAATTAAGCATCTTTTGCGTACCCACATGCAGGTTTTGTGGTTGCCAATTACTAATGTTGTTTGTATGTGTCATAGGGCATTGCACCTGGTCATTTTATGGAGTTTTTTCTTCGGCATCTTAAGTGTAGCGTTCCTGTGGTTATAGGGGAAAGCTGGGGTTGCAAAATTTGTGGTTAAATATTAATTTAGAGAGTATAGTTTGGGTTCCGAAGGCAAAGTTGCAGTCTTCCTGGTGAATGATGTCTCAGCAGCAAAATCAAAACGAAAACGAAAACCTACCTTCAGTTCAGCAATCTGGAGCTGATGTTAAACCCTTCTCAATAAGGTATCAATGCGATTGAAAAGTTACTATTTATGCATTACAATTTATGAATTAGATTTTAATTTTTGTCCTCTAATATTATGCCATCCATTATTGCATGTTCTATTTTTAGATTGATCTCTCTTCAATTGCATTATGTTGAGCTTGTATGGTGTCGCACATGTTGATTGTAGACTATTATCATCTTTCCAACACAAGTACACAACTGATGATTATGATTATTCTCTGTACATAAACTCCTTTTCTTGTTTGCTTTTGCCTTTTGCATTTCCCTTTGTGAATACCAAAACTGTAGATTTTGGAGGTTTCTTAAATTTAATTGCTGACAAACACAAGAGGAAATAGACAAACAATAATTATTTTTCTTCATAGGTGATAAATTATAAGTTATGTTGCAGACAATATGTTCTTGCTTGTCGTCACAGAAATATATCTCAAAACTGGCCTTTTGAAGAGAAGCACTTGCAATTGTGTCTTAAAAATGGTCTGAAGGAGAAAGATCTGTTTCCACCACTTGAAGCAAGCAAAGCTTCACACGATGGACCACTCAAAGGTTGTTCCAAAATTCATTCGCCAAATGATGATAATAATAAAGAAGCTGATTCTTGCAATGCCGAAGTGCCACAAGACATTGTTGTTGATGAGTGTAACAACAAAGTCATCAACCACCATTCATCACATGAAGAGGGAAATCACTCAAATCAGTCCAACTGCTGCAATTATTCTGGCGGTTTATCTCCACCAGAAGACGCATGTCCCCTCTCAAGTTCAACCAATGTTCATAAGAACAGTCCACCATTGCCTCTATCCTCCAAGGCAGTGAAATATGCACGCAAAAGGCGCAAAGGGAAATGTAAGAAACGTTCCATGGTGGATATTTTAGCCGTGGCACGCCACAGTACTATAGAGGAAACTGATAGGGATAAACAAGATTTGCTATGCTGAAACTGTGATTGAAGGTCGTGAGCAAACGTTGCTCAGTGAAAATATTTCCAAGGCTGAGGCAGTGGATGAGGATTCATGTAGAAAAAGTAGGAGTGAAGATCGTGTCATGGTGTAGTGTAGCCAATGTTGATATGACATGAACTAGATGATATTTTAACATTAAAATGATATATAGTTCTTTTATTTAGATACCAGATGTTGCAAGTGATCGAAATGATTCTAATACTAACAATTAAAGAATTACAAGTTAAAACAGTTAAGTGATGCTAATAATACCTGACGAAAAGCAAATGTGCCAATTCCTTACACGATCACCCTCTTCATTCTTTTATCCCCTTCCCTCCCATTACTAATATTTTGAGAAAATAAATCAACTGAAAATAATACACATCTAATGCTGACTAAGACTTCGTTTTCTAGAAACTTAATGACAGAAATGAAGATGTTTTCTCATCACTGATACACCAAACATTAGTTTACAGCAACAACTTATGAATAAAGAATATATCTCACCACTTCACGCAATGTTCTTTATACAGCGGTATAATGCATCACCCTTCCACATCGCCATTTATGAATAAAATCGTTTAGATACCCCATATAAGATATTAAATATTTTTTCCACTTTTAATCAACTTTAATTTAAATAATTTATATTTAAATATCCATATTAAAATAAATTTTATTCATAAATAATTTTGCATAAAATATTTTCTTTAAAGATATGCTTAATTCTTTAGTTATTAATTAACACAATATTTATAATTAATATTGTTTATGACATATATATATATATATGTATATATATATATATATATATATATATTAATTTGTGAATTAGAGTTATTTTTTAATATTTTTATGGTTATTTCCAACTAAAACATTGTAAAAAAATATCAGTGATAAATTTATGTTGTAAATATTTTAACAATATATGTTTGTTAAATCTGTATAATTTTTTTAAAATACGTATAAACATAAATAAAGAATTTATTAAAAATAAATAAAACATCTTTAAGTATTACCAACTTTTGTACTACATTTCTGATTCATATTGAACAATAAAACATTCTTAAAGTATATTTTTTTCCTCTAGTTTAAAATTATGTGGACTATTTTCAATCTCAACTTATATATTTTTCCTATAAATATATATTTTTAAAATATATCTGTTTAAAATAATGCATACTTGTATTTTTAAAAGTTTAATTTCATTAATTTTAAATATTTAATACTTTAAAGTATTATATTAAATATAAGTATTTGATACATAAATACATTAAACATATTATATATATATATATATATATATATATTACATTAAATATAAATATTTGATGCATTAAATTATTTAATATATGATATCAATACATTGATTAAAGTATTTAATATATTAAATATAATCATTTTACAGTAAAATTATATATACTTTTAATGTAATGCATTAAATATATTACTAATAATTATAATTGTAACAATTAGTAAAAAAAATCTAATTTTTACATTGATTCATATTTACAGTTTTATCACGTATATGTTAAAATTGTACTTGAATAAAAAAATACTAATAAACATGATTTTTTTCTTAATAACACGAATAAATGAATGATTATATATATATATATATATATATATATATATATATATATATATATATCTCGAAATTTTTGACATGACTATTGAGAATAATGTCATATTTCAAAATTAATAAATATAATTATTCTCTCTCTCTGATATTTCTATAAGAAAATACATTAAAAATCTTTCATTTATTATTTTGTTACAAAAATATTTTTAATTATAAAATGTAATATAAATTATATTTTTATTTATATTCTTACATTATTAATGAAAAAATCAAAAAAATAAAAAGGAATATGATAATAATAATTATTTTAACACACTATGTTATTAAATTATTTTAATTATTAAATATAATAAAATTTCAAATTTTATAATTATATAAAGAGTAGTTATTATGTACATAATTTTTTTTTCAAACTTCAATTTATAATATAGATTTTATAATATCATTTTCATATTACATTATATTTTTAAATTGATCTTATTAAATTATAATTTGTATGTGTAATGTTCACTTAAACAGTTAGTGACACTCACATCCTATGTTAGAACATCTGTTCTGGAAATTACTTACAATTTTTATAAATAAAATATATTATTTTAATATAAATCTTACATATAAATTTATTAAAATTGATTACTTATTTATATAAATAGTTCTCACATGTTTTAAATAACTTTCAATAAAAAACATACATTAAAAATAATATATTTTATTTTTAACATTGTTTGGATTACTCCCCTTTAAGATACTCTCCTAAGAACATCGAAATGAATGAAATTATGGAGCATTAATGTGGACCCAAAATACCCTAAAAATATGGAGTATAAAGTGGACCCGAAAATACAATAAATTTTTAAAAGTGACACAATAAAAAAAAAAAAAAAGTTGGTTTGACTGAGACCAAAGGTACAACAAAAATTGGTCGCAAACTGGCACCATGTGAAGGCCCAAATAGTAAAACTGACTTAACAGCAAAACAGCACGTTTTTATATTTTCTAATTTTTTGTGTGTGGATCTTAAACTGCTCATTTGTAATTGTGATGCATAATGTTTAAGGTTTAGGGTTAACTAGTTTCGTAATGTTTGTCATAGATTTTTTTTAAAAGCTAAAGTGACAACAAAAATTATACCTAAATCCCTTACCGGACAATCCTAGTGTTTTTTTTTTTTTTTTTAATTATAGATGGGACACAAAGAACTTGGACATGCAGTGGTGTAACCTTAAAAGTATCATAGTTATGGCAGAATTTTCAAAGATTATGAGGGCACCCAAGTACTATAGAGGACTCAAAATTTTGAATGACAAGAATCTAAGAAAGAAGATGCAAGTTTGATCCACCCAATCACAAAGAACCTAAATCAAAGAAAAAAGAACCGGTTGTTTATATTATACACTGTGCAGGAAACAAATTCTCATTTATTTCTGAATACAAATGCATCTGCAATTCTCATGGTGGAACATAAAACAAGCTTAACGGCTTAAACACCAATAAAAATACCATTTCAATTAATTTATCAAATCAACCAAACAAAACTTGGCTCAGAAAATGTTAAAGCCATACAAAATCCGTATACCTGATGCTTATCAAGGGAAGTTATATGAAGGAGCTGGCAGAAAGGGAAAAGGAGCAACAGAGGCATATGCTACTGGAGGACGTGCTTGAGTCCTATATGGCCGCTTGGCCTTGATATTCTGGTCATCATTATTATCATCCAACTCTAAAGCTTTCCCAGGAGATGCAGATTTCACAAAATCCTTTGCATTGTCTTCTGAGAATTGCTTGCTATTGGAATGACGGTGAATCAGAAACCCAGACATAAACACAGGGAGATAAAGAAGACTGGCATGGAACATTCTCCTCGCTCTTTCTCTGGTACGGTCTCTATAGAATGAAAATGCTGCAGCGCTTATTGCAAGTGTAAGCACAGTGGACTCCAGACAAAACCATCCAGAAGTCAAGCCCCCTGTTGACAGTTGCAGAAACATGAGTAAGACTCTCCTTGTGACCATAAATTTTATATTAAAGGAAAAGTACTATTTCAATTGTCCCTTTTACAAATCCTCATTTCATTTCATTTCTAATAGATTCTTGAGAACAAACTTCCTATTTACAAGTTTAATGTTGTGCACCAGATGCAACAATAATTTCTTCTAGCACAAAACATAGGAATAAGGTCTTCAACTTTTTGGCTAAGTCAGTGACACAGGCATAAAAAACTGACTATATTGTCAGTTTTGTCTGTGCAACCCCATCGACCACATGCAAAAAGGCTTCAAATTCTTGGACTTGAAAGATATATTCTTGATTGGCCTAAAATTATACTTTTTTTATTTTATTAATTACAAAGTATTCAATAAGACATATAACTTAATAAATTACACAGGCCAGAATTTTATTTAAGAAAGATTTCTTGGCAAGGTTTTGTCTTCAAATGAAATTTATAAGGTATACTATCAAAGCATGCAATCAATACTAGCACTAGAAATTAAGATAAAAAATCTCAAGAAAAAAAGAGACAGTGAAGTTTTTCTAGAAAAAGGAAACATTTACTCACAATCATAAGCCAAAAACCCCAAAGGGATTAGATATATAGAGTTCCTTAAAGCCACCGAAGCTGTTCTCTGTCCAGATGCATCAGCAAGAGAGTACATCTTAAACCTAAACTTGTAACACAAAACACACACGCAAGACAATAAGTAAAGGATATCGTATAGTTTGAAAATAAGTAATTGGATAAGAAATATATCAAGAGTGTGGTTATTCACCATATACAGAATCAGCGTAACAAAATCCATATTTAATGAGCATAAAAACAAGTAATTTGTATGCTACATGCTAATATAAATTTGGTAAAATCAACTGCAGTTCCCTATCCTTTTTAAAAAAAATTCTAGGTCCTTATACTTCAATTTGCAATTGAGTCCCCATAACTTCAGAAAAATAAATAAATAAAGTCGTTGTCCTGAATCATATTTGGTTTCAGAGCACAAAGATACAAGAGCATACCCTCCAGCAGCGTAGTCACTGCGACACATATAGGCTAGGGCCATAAAATGTGGTATCTGCCAAAAATACAAAGCAGCTGGAAGAATCATTCCATTTAGTGAAATATCATTACAAGCAGCAGCCCATCTGAAAATCAACAATAAAAAAGTGAAGGAGGGCAGAAAATACATATGTACATGCCTATGCACATGGTGAATGAAGTGAGATAACATTAGTAAAGAAAAAAATAAGAGACTGATTCCACTTACAAAGAATTGAAACTCATTTTCAGGTTTTTAGGGATTGAATTACTTAGTCGTACAACATATCAGTCATTAACACCATTGGACGTACAATTTTCTATTCCTTCAAAAATGTAAGTAGAGAGACAGCTAACACAGGGGGATAAGCTTTAAGATAACTACGCCAATTAAACCTAATAATACTTCGACCAATAGAAAATCAATAAATCGGTCAGATAAAATTCTTCTCTGGAAATGGAAATTCATCGCACACAACATGTAACATTGAGTCATGTCATATCAGTCTTGTGTGGAACAACTTAACTTCATAGAGATTTTATTTTGTACTTTGTAAAAAAGATTAATAATAGTAACATATATTCCACAAGCATTCTGGAATTTGAAATACATAGGAAGGTAAAAAAAAGTGTGTACGCAGTTTACCCCAAAAGTGGAGGAATAGCACCAACAACAGCTCCGACCCATGTATTTACATGATGAATCTGTTTCAAGGGAGTATATACAAATGCATACAGGAGTAGGTTGGAAGCAGCGAGTCCAGCAGCTAACATATTAGTCTGGAATAACCTTGTCATAAAGCTTCAATGTTAGTCCCTCCACTCAAAGCACATCAAACATTTGATAAGAAATTCATTCATATGTTTACAAGCTACACAAGAAAAGCATATGATCAACAATGGACAAAAATTTGTTTCAACACCTGTGTTGCTAGCAGAGCTGTACCAGCTAATCCAACAGAGGATGCCCAGCAAACTGCATGAGACTTTGTGATACGTCCTGAGGGTAGTGGCCTTTGACTTGTTCTCTTCATTTTAGAATCATTATTTATCTCAAACACCTAAAAAAGACGCAGCCATATAATAGATCTTGTGTTGACTAAAAAACTAAGAGACTGTCTCTTATATTCTCCTACACTCTTAAAATAGAAGTACAGGAAAAAATGGAAAAACAAATTAATCACAATAGACAATTTAGAGCAAGATGATATCCTCCAAGAACCAACCTGATTCAAAGAGTTAGCAGATGCAGCAACCATCATGGTACCCAAGCAAGTCCAAGAAAGTGCTGAAAGATCAACAGCACTACCACTCCCCAAGACAAATCCAGTCCCCGATGTTGCAACCACAAGCATGCTGGAATTGAGTTAGAAAATGATTAGTTATAAAGGTTTTTTGTTGTATGACAAAAGAGAAAAGAATAGGTTTTAGCACAATGACTATTATGAAAGAAAATACTAATTCTAATAAAATAGGTATTCAAGAGATTGTGAAAAATATAGTACCAGTCCTGGTTTTTCATAAGTGACATGTGATGCGCAAGGTCAAAAAGTTAAAAGGGAAACTACATCTAAAGGTTTACATGCTAATAAACAAAGGATGAAGTCAAAGACAAATTAAGATTTAACTCAAATAAACAATCTTCACATGTGATGCAAAAGTTCAGAAAGTTGAAAGGGAACTACATCCAAACTCTAAATGGTAAAATACAAAAGATTAAATCAAAGACAAATGAAGATTTAACCCAACTGAATAATCCTCGAACCCAAGATGGATAATAGGGTAGATGGCAATGGGTAGGGTAGAGCATCCAAGCCCAAACCAATGCATAAGTGAAATAAGTGCACCTAGACTCATGTTTACAAGAGTAGTAACGTAAGTGCTCAACTCCGCTCTCTCTATCACAAGAGTACAGTTACACATTCATTAAACCTCAGATTAATTGAATGTCAAGTGTTGTGAATCATCCATAGTAGTACAAGCATGATTATTTTTGTTATGGGGTTCCCATAAGTACTTAATGCCATGAGAATTATGTTTGGTTTGTAAGACTGGTTTTCTATTAGAATCAGGCTTTTAAGGTATATTGCTTCCTACTTACATACTTTCTTTGCGTCACAACACTAGTTGACGTAAAATCTCCAACAGCCCTCCCATGGTTATCTTCGAATATCTTAGAATAATCTAATAGCCCAATAGTTATTAGAATATCTTAGAATTTAGATTCGACCGCAACTTAACCCAGCAAAAACCAGGTAGTAAAGTCAGGATTTCCCCACTAAAATGCATTATTTTGACCCTATCAAGTGTGGACGTGGGATCTCCAATGCAGGGAACGAGGCTAATTCCTGTCCTCTGCAAAACAAATGATCCAGTCCACACAATCCTCTTCTAACATGCTTGGAGAACAAGATCATAATTCTATATCCTAAATCCAAATAGTAATTTATCAGCACAGATACATACACTAAAAAGAGAAAGTATCGGGTGAAAATGCATAAAAAGGTGGTGAAATGATGGAAAAGAAACCTGAGACGAGCCTTGGAGAGCTCCCAATAACACCTTCCATAGTGGCGGGTCAACGACACAAAGTCGGCGGTAGCTTTAGAAGAGACGTCGAGTGCAGTTGCAGAAGAAGCGATGAGATGGGGATTCGAAGAGGAAGAGGAACGCACATGATTCAGGTTGTGAGAATAAGAAGAATTGAGAAATTTGGAACAGAAGGAGGTCACAGAACTCCTCCTCAACATCATTGATTGCACCAAATTGAAACCACGACACTCCGTACCAGAAACAGGAAGCACACGCTTCATTTCTAACTTCAAGAATTGGGCTCACACGACGCACCAAAAGGTTTGGGCTTCGTCATTATAATGGGCCAGTGGGCTGACATAAGGGTTTTATTCCCACAGCCCTTCTTGTTAAGTTCAACCCTAATCTTTTCAAGAAAATAAGATGTACCTCTGAGGAAACCACGTTTTGGTTACGTATTTTGAGAAAACAACAAAACGTATTTTTGTTATTTTTTGTGTATTCAAACTCCTTCCTTAATAACACAATAAAAAAAATTATTAAATATCCCAACAATCTTATCAAGATACACGGAAACTTAACTCTGTTAAGAACTTTTTGTTAAAAAATACATAGAGGTGTGCTTAATATTGAAAGAAATAGGGGTGAGAATAACAACAACATTGTCTTAAAAATAATATATGTATATCCTCCTTTTAATATATAAATTATAATACTTATATTTAATATAAAAATTATAATAGTTATTGTATTGGAAATAGTGTTTTTGAGTATTTTAGCTGTTTTTTTTCAACAAAAATATTTTTATGTTTTTTAAAAACAAATTATCTCTTCCAATCTATAATTTCAAAATTTTAATTTGAGTTTTAAATTTGTTTTTAAAAAATACTAGTAATTAAAAATGTTATTTTTTAATATAAATAAGTTTTCAACAAATAAATTTTACTTGTTTAATTTTTCAACATAAGGCACCGTGATTACACTTTTTAAAAGAAAGCTAATTTTATTAATATATGAGTTTGAATATGTTAAGAAATAAAATAAAATGTCTTCTTCATATTTTAACCATATTATTTTTAATCCGATTATTTTTCTATAAGAAACAATAATAACTAAGATTGTTAAAGATGTTAGCGTATATAATACAATTTTATTTTATTCTCAACATAATTAAAAAATACAAATCATTACTATTTATGTCAATCAATATTTGTTTTTTCCATTTTAATTACTTGCAATTTATATTTTTTTTTCAATTTTAAGATATAAATAATTTTATTTTTATTCAATACGTAAGTTTAGCACCCAAATGTTTTTTTTATATTAATAGTGAGGTTATTTTATAAAATAATAATAATAATTTTAAATGTTTAATATAGATGATTATCCGTTTTGTATATACAATTTTTTTTAGTTATCCTTCAGATATATATAATTGCTTTCTTTTTCATACATGATGACTTCTTATACCTATAAAACTATTAAACCTGTAACGAACTAAATTTTACTTAAAAACAAAAGTTGAATATTTAGGGTTTGGGGTTCAATTATTATTCACCAATAAATCATTCCTTCATACACGTGTATACCTATCCTTTTCAACTACTTCCCACGTTCAAATCAATCATCTATCATCTATGGCTATTAATAATATAAAGTTAATTAATATGTGAATATTTAATTTTTAATTTTATAAAATTATATAATTTAATAAAAAATGCAGTCATATAAACACTGCTTATATTTCTAATACTAATAATGATAATAATTCCTCATTTGGTGTTAAAAAAACAGTTACATCTGTTTTTTTTTCTAATGACACCCTAAAGTGATTATTATTTTTCCGTTATCTTTGAAAGAATATATTTGCCACTGAAGATTTGTGGTTCTGCTTTAATCTCAAGCGTTTTAACCCCCTTATCTAAATAAAGAGGATAAAACAAAGTGTTGATTTAAATATATATATATAAAAAGAGAGAGAGATAACACCAAAATTTTGAAATCCATGGCTATTATTTTTTTTAATATGTAAAGGTGAATCAATTTAATGATTAATTTATTAACTCAAAGCACAGAACTTTCAATTTAACTGTTATATTATATAAATTTATTAAGTGGAAAAAGTAAAAAATGTTGACATTTTTGTGTAAAATAAATATCTTTTGAAAATTAAAATAATTTTGAAAATATTTAAAAAAATCAACGTAACTATCATGTAATTCTACAAAATTAACTGAAAGATATATAAGCTTGTTATTATATCATGTAATCCGAGTATTCATGTCAAGTAATGTTAAGAATCAGTTCGCAAAACAAAAACATTTTACAATGTTTGTGAAATCATTGAAATAATGTCTTAATTTTGAGAATAATTTTAGATAGAAAAACGTAAGAAAGATAAGTATTACGATAGAAGTAGGAGATGATGAAATTATTTGGCAGAAGAATAAGATGGGAATATACCATTACAAAATAAAAATAGATGGAATAAAGTATATTATGGTATTATAATTTGTTATCCTTGAAATTATGAAGAAAAGATGAGAGGCAGATAAGTGGGAAGAAGATAGCCAGAAGCATAGGCTAAGATTGCCCTGAACATGTGGACCGCAAGAGGAAGGAGTGTTTAGATCATCAACTATACCCTTTTCCTCTCACATTCTCAACAACACACTTCTTCTTCTTCTTCTTCACTTCTACTACTACACTCTATAACCACTCATCTAAGTGGTTGCTTTTGGTTTTGGTTTGGTTCCACTTTTGAACCTCTTAAGCTTAAGTTAAGCCATGGCGTCCTCGTCCTCTCTATATCTATCTCAGGCCCTTTTGGCCCGTGCTGTGTACCTTCATGGCTCTTCATCTGATCGTGTCTCACTCTCCTTCCCTTCATTCTCGGGTCTCAAGTCACATTCTCCATGCAAAGCAGCCACGTTCTCTGCAGGTTCACGTAGAAGGGGTGTTTCCACCAGTGTTGTTCGAGCCGCTGCTGTTGAGACACTGGACCAGACTACTGAGGTTTCTCTGGTGGAGAAATCCATCAACACCATTCGGTTTCTGGCCATAGATGCAGTTGAGAAGGCCAACTCCGGCCACCCTGGTCTCCCCATGGGGTGTGCTCCAATGGGTCACATTCTCTACGATGAGGTCATGAAGTACAATCCTAAGAACCCCACTTGGTTCAACCGTGACCGTTTCGTTTTGTCTGCTGGACATGGCTGCATGCTCCAATATGCTCTGCTTCACCTTGCAGGCTATGACAGTGTTCAGGTTGGTTCGTTGGTTTTCATTTCTTCTTGTTTCTTTAGTCCTTTTACTATTCACACTGACATGGATCTGTGACTGAGAATTGTGACCATCCTGCAATCTGAATTTTTATATTGTATTGGTGCACTCTACTACTACAATTTAATTTATATGAATTGATCACATTTTATTGTTGGTAAAGTTTTATGTTAACTATTTAAAAGTCATATCTGATATGATTTTTTTGTTATTGATAATGTAATAGTCATATTGTTAGACTCACAGTGCAAGAAAGTTGAAGTCATATTGTGGTCTGTTCCCTACACTTAATTACATATTGATTGGTGAAACAGTTTTGGGTCCTTTGGAATTGGTATAGCATTTGTTTTTATCTCTTTTGTTAAGTTGTGAGGTGGTGTATATATCTTTATATTCCCAAGGATAAATTAATTACTTTTGACGGAAACATAATTGTGAAGCTTTTGAACCTATGTGATCTTCATTTGGGTTACATAATAGGAACAAGACCTGAAGAATTTCCGACAATGGGAAAGCAGGACTCCCGGACATCCTGAGAACTTTGAGACAGTTGGAGTTGAAGTGACCACAGGTTAGATGTTTCTTTAGTTTTTGTTATCATAGTGAGCCTTTTTTATGTGTTGTGTTGCTTATCCTCATAATTTGTTTAGGTCCTCTGGGTCAGGGAATTGCCAATGCTGTTGGATTGGCACTGGCTGAGAAACACTTGGCAGCACGATTTAACAAGCCTGACAATGAGATTGTTGACCATTACACGTGAGAAAGCTACATCTCGTTCAGTGCACATCTTTCTCTCTACATTGTGATCTATGTACTTGCAATGATGTCTTGTGTGTTACCAATGAGATTTGTTTTCTCTTTATTTTACTCTTGCAGATATGTTATATTGGGTGATGGTTGTCAAATGGAGGGAATTTCGAATGAAGCATGCTCACTTGCTGGTCACTGGGGTCTAGGGAAGCTTATTGCATTTTATGATGACAACCACATTTCCATTGACGGTGACACTGAAATTGCATTCACTGAGAATGTTGATCAACGTTTTGAGGCACTTGGATGGCATGTGATTTGGGTGAAGAATGGAAATACTGGGTATGACGAAATTCGTGCAGCCATTAAGGAAGCAAAGGCTGTCAAAGACAAACCTACTTTGATCAAGGTTATTTACGTGACATGATTGAAGCAAGTAGATTAATCAAAAAACATCATTTATTTTACTTGGTTATACTAGTGGAAGTAAAGAGCAAAATGAAACCATTTTTATGTTTTTTGGGGGTATTTTATAAGTTTTATTCACATCTGAGATTACTTCTTAACAGGTAACCACTACCATTGGCTATGGCTCTCCAAACAAGGCTAACTCCTACAGTGTTCATGGAAGTGCATTAGGTGCTAAAGAAGTGGATGCTACAAGGAAGAATCTTGGATGGCCATACGAGCCTTTCCATGTGCCAGAAGATGTTAAAAAGTGTGGATGGGGTGTTAGAGATGTCTTGTTTCCTATTAGTATACTGATATATCAGATCTAGAATCTAACTTTCTTTACTTTTCCTTAGGCATTGGAGTCGCCATGTCCCTAATGGTTCTAAACTTGAAGCTGAGTGGAATGCCAAGTTTGCTGGGTATGAGAAGAAATACAGTGAGGAAGCTGCAGAGCTGAAGGGTATTTTTACTGGTGTATTACCAGCTGGTTGGGAGAAAGCACTTCCGGTGAGTAAACTAACAAACTCTTTGGTTTCTACTGATATTGGTTTTGAGGTATATATCCTTAGTAATTTAATGATGCCTAATGTAATTTTATTGGTGTCCTTATAACTAGGAAAATTCTGATTGCATCTTTATTCTCAGAATCACTAACCATATTTTTCCATGATTTGTTATAATCATTAGTTTTTATAACTACGGTTAAAATTCATACTTAGTAGCATGTTCATTGCATCTGCATTCATCATCCCACCTTTTGCTTCATGAATGCATAGCCTTCAAAATTTTAACATAAATAAAACTTGACTTCTATCTTTTGTTAGTGGATTATTGACTACCCTTCTGATTTGATTTCAACTTGCAGACATACACGCCAGAAAGCCCAGCTGATGCTACAAGAAATCTTTCTCAGCAAAATCTAAATGCGCTTGTTAAGGTTCTACCTGGTCTGCTTGGTGGCAGTGCGGATCTTGCCTCTTCCAACATGACCTTGTTGAAATCGTATGGAGACTTCCAAAAGGACACTCCTGAAGAGCGCAATGTTAGATTCGGTGTTAGAGAACACGGAATGGGAGCAATCTGTAATGGCATTGCTCTTCACAGCCCTGGATTCATTCCATACTGTGCAACTTTCTTTGTCTTCACTGACTACATGAGAGCTGCCATAAGGATTTCTGCACTTTGTGAAGCTGGAGTCATTTATGTGATGACTCATGATTCGATTGGACTTGGAGAGGATGGACCAACTCATCAGCCAATAGAGCACTTGGCAAGTTTCAGGGCAATGCCAAACATTTTGATGCTTCGTCCAGCTGATGGTAATGAAACTGCTGGATCATACAAAGTTGCCGTACTTAACAGGAAGAGACCCTCAATTCTTGCACTTTCTAGGCAAAAGTTGCCCCAACTTCCTGGAACTTCTATCGAGGGAGTTGAAAAGGGTGGCTACACCATTTCAGACAACTCATCAGGTAACAAGCCTGATGTTATCTTGATTGGAACTGGTTCTGAGTTGGAAATTGCTGCTGCTGCTGCTGAGGATCTAAGGAAGGAAGGAAAAACTGTTAGAGTTGTTTCTTTGGTCAGCTGGGAACTTTTTGATGAGCAGTCAGCTGAATACAAGGAGAGTGTTCTCCCTGCTTCTGTATCAGCTAGAGTTAGCATTGAGGCAGGATCTACATTTGGTTGGCAAAAGATTGTTGGAAGCAAAGGAAAGGCCATTGGCATTGATCGATTTGGAGCTAGTGCTCCAGCAGGAAAAATATACAAGGAGTTTGGTATCACCAAGGAAGCTGTTATTGCTGCTGCCAAACAAGTTTCGTAGATCTATTTGTTGAGTTTCTTCTATCTAATCTAGAACTTGTGGTTTTAACTGGTGGCTTGGATTACTTTTACATGATTTGTTTTTTCAGATGCCACTTTAGCCACTATAAGGAAGATTAGATTGTTCTTGCATATGATTGTCAGAGGAGCCACTTACATTAAAGGATGAGTTAAATTAATGAACTTTTATGAATTTGTAACAACTAGTTTTGCTTATGAGTTTTGTCTTTCAAGTATTAGTGATCCTCACTCTTCTAGCACTTAATTTTAAGTCTGCTCAGATATAGCTTCCTGGAATAATTCATTTTCTAATTTGATTATTGTGAAATATTACACAACCTAGTAATTCAATTATGTACCGACTATATTATAGATATAAAATGAAAAAGCCTATCCTATTTTCTATGTTTATACAATGTATCAAAAGTTATTTAGGAGGTTTGTCCTTTAGAGAATAAAAAAGCCTTTTTGCATGAAAGGTGGATAAACAACATTAACAAAACTTTATTTGTTGTTAATGCTCCGTGGGGTAACCGGAAGGAAATAAAATGAAGTAAAAAAGAGTGAAAAAGAAGATTATTATTTAGTAAAAAAGAAATGATAAAATAATAATTTTTTAAAATTGTTTAATTTATTTTGATTAATATTATTGTATTCAATTAATTATTAATATAACAATCAAAAGACCAAAACAAATTACCTATGATCCGTTAAAAATAAGTGGAATTTAAACAATTACACGTCAGAAATAGATATCAGAAAAGAGATATAATCTCTCCTTGAATTATTTATTTTTAATTCATCCATACAGATCAAGCATGAAAACAGAGAAGAAGAAAAGATGAAGGAGGAATGTTAATGTGGCATTGACATCCATGAACATCACAGAGGGATATGTAAATGACATACATAAAGCTTTTTGGTTTGAGGTTTATGAGAGACCAATGACTTTTCCAGTTGTTGTATCAATATCAATGTCATAGAAGCATGGCCTTGTTGGAAGCCCTGGCATCGTACTCATTGTTCCAACTAAAGGATAAATAAATCCAGCACCTATACTAGCTCTTACATCCCTTATGGGTAGCACAAACCCACTTGGAGCTCCCTTTGCTGCAGCATTGTCTGAGAAAGAATACTGAGTCTTAGCCATGCAGATTGGAAGACCAGAAAATCCTTGCTTGCTATACATCTCAATCTGCTTCTCAGCCTGGTTGGACGACAAGAATGCCAAACAGAGAAATGTTTTTCGTTAACAAATAAACAATTATATATAGGTACATGTAATAAGGATTAGGTAAGAACAAAACACTAAAACATAGTGGAGTTGTAGTTTGTGTAGTCCTTTGATGTGTGAGATTTGTTGCTTGTGTCTTTAAGGTTGTTTCTTTCCTCCCAAAATAAACTTACACCCGAATAGAATTATGTTCATGGTTTCTACTTGGTGTTTATTTGCTCATGCCTACTTTAAGTGAGTTGCTATCTCTGAAATGTGGAGTGATTGTGCATATTTTTTTGCAGACGGGTTTTGCTGTAATGGAGGATTTATTATATTTTTATTTTTGTCCATTTCCTATCGAATACAACATTCTATTTTCCACGCCACCCTAATGTCTAGTAAAATTAGGGGGTAATATTGTGCTGAAGTTAATTTTCGTAACCAAACAGAAGATACCTGCTCAGAGTACTCAACGCCACTGGCTCCATATGACTTTGCTATTGCCTCTATTTTCTCTTTTATACCGAGATCCAGTGGGTACAGGAACTTCAATGGCTGTGCCACATTCTCACAAGCTTTTTGAACTGCAATACCCAGGTCAACCTGAATCATGACAAGGCATACCTTAGCAAATAGTGAATACCATTCCTAACTGAATGATACTATGGCTTGTATTATATCCTGTGACATGCATGTAGAGAAACTAAATTGTGCTGCTAATTGTAGCCCTGAAATGGTTCCATTTACTTAAAAAATTTGAAGTCTAAAGCATGAAATGGACATAAATATGTGCTGCCAGAAGCACACTTGGATATTTGATCCAACACAATTAAAAATTATGAGGGTAACAATGCACAATGGTTTCAAAAGCCCAAGGAAGCAACTCAACATACAGTTAATCCGGCGGGTGAAAAATTAAAGACAGCTCAAAGGAATATGCTAGGGCACAAACAACTTAATCAAAACTGATTTATTGATTGTTACGTTCCTCTTCCTTTGGTTTTACTGACTTTTACAATTCAATATCCTGAACTTTTATGAGAAGGTAAAAGACTGGTGTGGCCTATGGTTTCTTTGTTGCTTAAGATGGATGAAGAACTTACGGCTCCTTTGCCACCATGCGCGTGATGGGTACAAATTACAGCATCATAAGCTCCAGCAGCTAAAGCAGCACTCCGAACTGCATTTAGCTCAGCTTCAGTGTCAGTTGAAAACTTGTTGATAGCAACTACAACATTTACACCGTAAGATTTTGTATTTGATATATGCCGTGACATATTCACACAACCAGCCTCAACCAGGGCAACATTCTCAGTCAAATATGCATGATCAAGAGGTTTTCCAGCAACAACAGCTGGCCCTCCACCATGCATTTTCAGTGCCCTTATTGTTGCCACAATAATTGCACATTGAGGTGTCAAACCACTATAACGACACTTAATGTTCATAAACTTCTCAGTTCCAATATCAGCACCAAAACCAGCTTCAGTAACTACAAATCCACCCGGTCCGACCAACTTCAGTGCAATCTTATCAGCCACAATAGAAGAATTCCCGTGAGCAATATTTGCAAATGGGCCTGCATGAACAAGAACAGGAGTTCCTTCCAGGGTCTGCATAAGGGTAGGGTGAATAGCATCCTTCATTAAAACTGTTAAGGCACCTCCAACCCCTAGATCATCAGCAGTGACAGGGTCACCACTCTTGCTATTTCCAATAACCATTTTCCCAAGCCGCTCTCTCATATCAGCTAAGGATGTTGTCAGTGCCAAAACAGCCATTATCTCACTAGCAACTGAAATATCAAATGCTGTTTCTCTTACCATTCCTTTCTCATCAGGTCCCTGGCCAATAGTGATTTTTCTCAAGAACCGGTCATTGATGTCCATTACTCTCCTCCATGTAATAGAATTTGGGTCAATATCAAGCCTCGCAAATTTATTAACTTCTTCTGGTGTAAGATCATCTGGATTTGTCTTTGAAATGCCAAGCTTCTTAAGACGCCTGAACATGACATCACAAAAGCTCCTTTTCCCTTCTTTATTTGGAGGGCACAACCGGTTAAAAAGGGCCTTATCCGACTGCGTTGACTCATGGAAAATTCGGGTGTCAATTGCAGCAGCTAGAAGATTGTTTGCTGCAGTTATTGCATGAATATCTCCTGTTAGATGAAGATTGAATTCATCCATTGGAATAACTTGGCTATAGCCACCACCAGCTGCACCTCCTTTAATGCCAAAAGTAGGTCCTTGCGATGGTTGACGAAGGCAGGTTACTACCTGACAAAAAGAGATAAGATGTGATTATATATCCAGCATAACTTTTACATGCGATTAAAAATTATAGCTTTCCATCATTATCATGGACCATCATAACCAGTGGAGTTCTAAATGGTGGATGAAAAATAAAGTTGTACATAAACAACGTTCCCAAAGGTTTCAGACTACCAAAGTAAAAAACAAAAAACCATCAATCTGATCCAAAGATTGCAGTTGCAGGCATAACTTTTGAGAACAAAAGCAATATCATCAGAAGATATCCTAATGATAGAGTTGACAGACTATAGAACATCCAGATTCAGTTTGTTATCAAATCGATAGGTGGCATGGCACACTGCTGTAAATGTAGAAAAAGAAAAAAATTACCTTTTTATCAAGAAAAGCACCTAAAGCTTGGCAGAGCCCCACTGTAGTAGTAGATTTGCCTTCCCCAAGAGGAGTTGGAGTAATGCCTCCAACTACAACATAATACCCATCTTGTGATCCTTGAAGCTCATCAAGAACTGACAACAAAACCTGTGCATCCAAATCACTCTTCAGCTAAACTATAAGACTGAGATCATCACATCAATGCATTCAACCAAAATTATCCACATGTTGCTGACAAAAAGAACTAAGGCATACACCATAAACCTTCTCTAGGGTACTGATTAGTTGCATGTAACTGAAATCTAAAAAGTAAAAAACATGATTTCACACATAACATCATAAAGAAACTAATAAAATCATATTCCTGTAACTCAAATCTAAATAGTGAATTACCTTGGCCTTATATTTACCATAAAGATCATAGTGATTGGGACTGAGGTTGAGCTCTTTGGCAATCTGAGATATGTGAACCGGTTCAATGGAGTTAGCAATGTCTATGTCCGCAGGAACAGGGGACACAACCTCTAGCTTCCTCATTGTAGTTGAGGAACTCATGGGATTGAATTGGGATTCAGTTTTAGGCAGAAACAAGGATTCAGAATCTGAAAACTAATAATGTTTGACGAGGAAGAGAACAGCGCAAGATGATTTATCTTTTGTTTATTATTCCTTAAATCTTATCCCTCTCTCTCTCTCTCTCTCTCTCCCTATTTTATTCATTTGTTTGTTTGGTTTTTATTCATTTGTTTGTTTGGTTTTTATTCATTCTCTGTCACTCATACTCTGACACAGACAAATAAGTGTTTTATACAAGAAATTCCTCACTTTCTAATCAATCATTCACTATCTTGTATGTGGTCGAAATAAAAAAAAAAAAACTGAAAAAATGAAATTTAAATTAAAAATAAAGTATATGTTAATAAAAGTTTAATTTCTTTCTAAAAATTATTTGTTTATAATTTTTAACTAAATAAAAAAATATGATTCGTATTTTTTTCTCTCGCTGTTCCTTGCTGTTGTAAAACAGCGTTAACTTCAGTTTTTTTTAGCAAACTGTTATTATTATTATTATTATTATTATTATTAATAAAAACAAAAGTCTTCAAAAAAAACATTAAGACAAAGGTTTTTTTTATTTTAGGGAATTAAATAATAATTATGAAAACGCTGCCTCATTTATTTTCTTAAGATTTTTAAACAATAAAAATTACAATAATTAAAATAATTAAAAACTTGCTTATTATACTTTTTTTTCATTTTAATCTTATATTAAATGCATAAACAATTTTATTTCATTATTGACAAACAATCATATTTAAACTAGGTAATTTAAAAAAAGTAAACTCTACCATTTACCTTATCATATGTAAACTTCATTAAAAGTAGGTAAAAAGTAAAGACAGAATAAAAAAATAATTAATGTTATTTTTAAATTTAAAAAAAAACACAAACAAGGAATTTATTAATTAATTGATTAATATTCTGAAGTCATTTATTAATATTTAAAAACATTTTAATAATAAGATAGAAATTCATTCACATTAATTCCACTTTTTAATCCGTAAAAGGTTATAATCGTCATATTAGTTAATATTACACACCTAATGTGTACACGATTTACATTAACATTTACAGACTTATTTCGCAGCTGAATAGGAGCCTAAATAGCTAGTCTTGCTGGAAGTATTTATATGGGTTTTGCAAGTCAATACGGTCTACAACACGAATATGATCATGGTAGTTGAACAGAACCATGAAAATCATTGGGTTGATAACCAAGCCGATGGTAAGAGTTCTGTAATGCATCCAGACCAAAAATAGAAGCATAAAAACCCTCCGCGTGTTGTGTGCTAGAAGTTGATTACCAATGCAGTCCGTGGCTTTGTTAACTGGTGATGAAAATCCCAATCATTGCGCCAAAATGCAGAACTAGAAGACCTCAGTGTTGCTCAAATATTCTGATGAAAAGGATATATAGTACGGTGGACAACAACAAAAGATTAGTATTCTAGACACCAGTGACTTTGTGACCAAGTACGATGCAGAAAGTTTACCTTCTAAGAGTTTGGAAGTAACCTTCCATTATACATCTTATCAAGCAGTTTCCGTGCATCGGGCCGCCTTAGAAGACCTTTATTGTTTGGCAAACCAGTTCCTAGACAAACAGGGCAGACAAGTTTTCCTCGACCTGTAGTTTATACATCCTATGTTATTGATCAACCATACAAGTAAACTCTGCAGGTGACAATACTAAAAAAAATGATATGTTTGGATAAGGTAAAGAAAGGGTGGGAAGAGATGAGAAAAGTGACCCGACCAACCCTCGTTTGAAAGATTTTCTAGGAGGAGAAGGTCATTCCCTCTGCTTTAACTCAAAAAGAACAGGATAATAGTTATCTGGTTTTAAGTATATACAAATAGAGCTAACTTTCCCTCCTTCCCTTCCCTTCCTTGCCGTTTCCCTCCACTCAACAACTTTCATAATTTTCATTACTTCAATAAGAAAACAAAATTTAGTGATATGATAAAAGGAGAAAATAAAACATGTACTTCATAAGTGCCGTAGAAAATGATAGATCGGGATTCAAGATAGAACAGATGAAGAAAAGTGGCTAAAATAAAATGTGTATTATTCTCGCGTAGAATCATGGCCAAAAAAGGAATTGCACTCATGCATAAGATATTTGAGAGACTAACCTCACCTCACTCTCTAGTGTTCAAACCTTTCTAAAATGATAAGATCACCGTTACTTTAAGCTTACAAGAAATACTAGTAAAGGTGAGAGAAGACATACATGAGAAACATACTAGTAAGCTTACGAATGGCATTTCTTTTCAACTTAAAAACAAGTAAACCAAACAATGTGGTATATCATTTAGGAATGTAAACAAAAAGCTCCAGACATTGTACTAGCTTGGATATAAATACAAAACCAAAGATGATTTATAAAGGCTTTAAAACATACAAAAACAAACCATGTCAGACTCAATTAAATATAGAAAATAAATAAATATTAAAAAAATAGGTGTTAAGAGAGTGAGATCACAAATGATTTTTGTACACTTCCAATTCCGAGCTTACAAACAGTTGAAAACGTCCAAAAGCAAGCAAAGTGGTACTCAATTATATACCCAACATATATTAGATATTTTACTTGCTTGTTTAAAAGCTCAAATAAAAAAATGATTCAGAAAGACTTAGAAAATGTCATCTATATTTTTATTTTAAATGAGCATGTTAACGTCTCTTGATGTTTTACTAGCTTGTTTGATAACTTAAAGCAGAACAGCAACATTGAAAATTATTTGAATTAAACCATGTTAGTATTATCACCTCTAGTAGCTAATATAAATGGAGTCGAGTAGAAAATGGAGTCCATACCATAACAATTTGGACACTCAGTAAATTCATAAACATCTTTAGCTCGCTTCCTGTTTAGAGCTTTCCATTTTCCTGTACCACCACACATGTCACCTAAATGAAAAGGTAAGCATCGAATGTATCAAAGTATGTAACAAACCACTGGTCTGACATTGATAAAATTACAACGTATTATCAGGGATACCATGGAAACTAACCCAACAATCAATCCTATTATATTTACCAACTTGTTTTAATTAGGTACTATTTAACTCATATAATGTCTAATTACCGAAGTTTTGAAATTTGAAGCAGGAGGATATACTAGAAAGGTCCTATAAAGATCAAATTGTCTCGGTATTTTTACCCGCTTATGGTCATACGACTCCTCCGCAGCATTTAAAGAAACAAGGTTCAACACAGTCAAGATTTAAAATTGTGGAAAATTTTATTTCTCTTCTCAGATTAGTAATGTGTGAACTACTGAATGAGCTTATAAAATGGAGACATGTTATCATGGATTATGTCCAATTTGTAAATCCAGATAATGCAATTAAGAAGAATCAAGCACAGAAAAATCAATTTTATCTCAACTTACAAAGCACAGCACCACTTCCCAAACAATTTCTGCACACAGGTTTTTCCATCATTCCATCCACAGCAGTTGCCTTAGGAACAAAAATAGGTGCAGCATAATCACCAATCAAGACTAGAGTTGAGCACAAACAAGAAAGACAACTACGCCTGGAAACTGTTACTTGGAGTTCCTGCAAGAGAGGATTAACTTTCGGTTGGTATGACTTTGGAATTCATTAGAAGAATCCGGGGCAACTAAATTACCAAACTACAATCGCAGCAAAGTCTTTGCGGGCATATGTTCATTTCTATAGAAATAGTTTTGCAACTTCTGGCACATGCTTCCGATAAAATGTAACATAGTCTGAGACTACCATGTGTTGATCTCAGTCAATATCCATGTGAAGCAAATTTCTTAATCACAATTAAGAAATAATCAAACTCAATTATAATGTGTGGAGATTGGTCACGACCATGGTGGTGCAAGATATAGTATAATTTCTCCAGGCTCACTAATCAAAGAATCATAGCTATGCTTCACTAATGGCTTAGTCTCTCAAGTTTCATAAACAGAAAGTCATTATTCAAGTTTTGACACACAATGCAATGCAGGTGCACTGAATATATGAGTAATTAGATAGCAAGCGATGTCTTAATTACCATTCATTAATTAACAACGAATAAGAAAAGCAAGTCTTTTTTGTTTCACCTTTGAGGAGTGGTCGGTGTGAGGGGAAGAAGAGCTGTCATTTTGGTGGCTAAGGCTTGATTTAACCACATGCGTTTTTCCTGAAAACAAACAACAGAACTTCAATTCAGAAATCATAAAATGATAGAAACTTTCATTGAAAAACTAACTAAATCGATTTTACAATCACAAATTTAAATGAACGCGGATAGAGAGGAAAAAACTGACGTGGGTTTTGAGTTGAAGTTAGGATTGTAATTTGGGAAAAGCATCGAGGAATAACAGACGCCATGAGGCACCACCTGCAACTCCAACTGTAACTGTAACTGTAACTTCAGTGTAATCAATTTGATTGCTATAAAGGAAGATGAAGAGATAGGGATTTGGATTGGCGCGAGTAGGGTAGAGGGGACGTAATTGAAAGGTCAAAATGTCCTCCACGTACTCCTCCATCTCAAATTTCTAATCCTAGATAAACATTTCTTAATCTCAAATAAATCTCCATCGCCAGGTGCTCCAGTTTTTTCTTTTTTTAATTACAAATAGTTTTTATTACTTTATTTACATTAAAAAAATTAATGTTAAGCTAATTATAATTTATAATAAAGATTAAAGAATTTTGTTAGAAAATATAGTAATTTAAACCTAACAAATACTTTTGAAAAAAATAAAATAAGACCGAATCCTAAACCTAGGTTATGTTGTCTGTTAAGTCTAAGAAGGTGAGGCCCATTACAGGGAACTATGAGGTCTACAACAAAATTTATGTTTAAACTTAATAAATGTTATATATAATTGTATGGATAGAGTTTCCACGCGTAATAAATAAAATCAGAATAATTATAATTATTATTATAATAAATCATGTCTACTGTGTTAATTAAATTTAAAATTCATTTATTAATGTTGACACCCAGTACAAAATAAAATAAATTCAACTATTGAAATTAATTGAATGCACACTTTGTATCTCTACTAATAAAAAGTTAAGAAAAAGTTATTAAAAACTTTTTACTTGATTTGGTTGACAAAATTATTGCTTACATTTAATATGGTCATGTGGACATTTTAGAACCTATAACAATATAATATATTAAAAACCACACATGATTTTTCCAACAAGTTTTCCATGCAAAAACCATTTATCAATTTGAACATGAACATCAAAATTTATGCTATGATCATGCACCACCTAATAAACATGAACATCTGAATTCAAAACATTAAAATCAAAACACTATCTCAAATCTCGAAATCAAATTGCTACAAACAAAATCTTTGCATCTCTCTTCTCTCCCTTTTGCAGAAACTCATACGCCCACCTCAGGCGAATTTTCTTTTGAACCCAAATAACTTGTTTCAATGTCCACTTCCCATATCAGGCACTGCATTCATATCAAAACCTCTATCTGCAGCTTTATTATGATCTACAAAACCTTTTCCACTTGAACTGGTTTCATTTTTCTCAACATCATCCAAATTCATGTCAGCATCCAACATGTTTGTGGCCAGTTTAGGAGGCCATTGTTGAAGTGGCACAGCATCAGTGATCACATGGCCTATTCTTAATTTCTCCAAATAATCATCCATTTCTAGCATGTACCTTTCCTTGTCTTTCACAGCCATCTCTTGATAAATCTATAGGACAATCATACCATTGTATCAATACAATGTTTAAAGATTATTTTTTATTCATATTAAACTGAACAAAGTCTTCATATTTGTCAATGGAAAATATCTAGTGTATGAAAGATAATGTCATACCATCTTTTGAGACACTTTTAACTTTGACCAGAGTTCACCAATCATCCTAGGAATCTCTCCCTCTTTTCCTTGGTGAAGTGTCTTGAGTGTTGCATGTTGTTCAGCAAAGAAGAAATTGTACCCACTTCTACTATGTTTTGGATGTGCAGGAACTCTCTTTTTCATTTCTGATTTCTTACTGTGCCGTGGATGATGAACACCCAATGAAGCAGAAACACTGTGATGGGATGTTGGCAACACTGGGTGCTGTGGCACTTCATAAAGTATGCCTTTCAGTGTCTCTGAGCCCATTGTCACAGAAACTATGTACCCACTTTCAAATTTCCCATCAATTACTCCAATTACTGATTCTGCTGAAGATGTTGCCATTACTGATACCAAATTGGATTAAACACTCTTATTATCAATAAATCAAGGTAATCAAAGGCATTGACTTTATAACATGTTCTCAAAAATTCACACAAAAAAACAAGTTCAATATTTTAGGAAAGATAAAATAAGAATAGATTAAAAATTTTCAAGAGATTGCAATTATACTAACCTCAACATTAAGTATATATATATTAAAAGGATTGTGATGTTGATTGACTTAAAATTAGTTTCGTATTCTATTTAAGAAGATAATTATATCTTTAGTCAAAATATTTACAAATAAAGGTTGACTGAAACTCACATATTACAAGTACATTTTATTTAAATTTATTACAAATTGTATAATGGTCATAAAATTAAAATATATTAACAATTATAATTTAATTTAATAAGGAGACTAATCATTTTCAAAAGCTTTGGTCATATTTCAAAACGAGTCATTTTCAAAGTCACGGGTCATATTTTTCAAATAAATAGTTTCAAAGTAACGAATTATATTTTTAAATTTAGTTGAATGTTATGATTACAAATCATATTTTATTTTTTATTTAATAACTTATTTTGTTTATTAATGACAGTGGGTAAAAAATATAATAAACAAAAAACTTAACATCTAATAAAGACACATGGTTAAAACATAGGTCCTGACTTACACACCCAAAAAAAGTTAAATTCACCTGTTCAACCCTTTTCACTCTCAATTTTTTATTATAAAATTAATTTATCATTTTTAAATTTAAATTAAAAAATATAAAATAATGAGTATTGGATAAGTATTTAGAACTTTGAGATGTACATCAAACATTTTTCTAAAACATATACATAAAAAAAAACAAAAATAATATATCAAAAACCTCCTTTTTGTTTTTATTATTGTTTTTTTGTGATATAACGGTGTAAGTTATTAAATTAAAAATATAAAAAAATACTTCTTAATCTTAATATATATATATATATTAATAAGTTTGATCATTGAAAGATTTCGTCTGACATCTAAAATTTAATTTTGTATAAAAACTTATTTTATAACTTCTGAAAAATATAAAAAATTATCTCCATTATTTTCTCATATTGTGTTTCTCATTAGAATAATTATATATATTTAAAATGAGACTCTGAAATGGACAAAGCTACGTCACAACAATAATATACTATTAACAACGTAGAAAGAACAAATAAGTAATGATAACATATACGAATTTATATATTTATTATACAATAAATACATTTTTCATTGTTTTCTGTTTTAAACTTGTTTTTTTTAATAAATTTAGTTTAATATATATATTAGTTTTATATTTTCAACTATTTTTTTATTGTTTTTACCCTAACTTTTATTAAAATATTTTTTAAAATATTGTTTTTGTTGATTCAAGTTACAATGATTCACATTTTAAAAAATTAAAATGGATATATGATTTATTTAGTTTGGAGTTTTATATTATTTTTTATAATTTTTAGAAATTAAGATATATTTATTAAAATTTTGTACAATAACTCAGGTAGATTAATTTTTTTCTGTTTTAATTTAATTTTTGTAATTAGACTTATGAACTTAATTAAAACTCACAATTAAACCCATATTTGATCTAATTTTTATAACATATAAATAGCCTTTTAAATTAATATTATAAATAATTTTATTAAATTTTCAATTTACAAAATCTCTCCTCATCTTCTTTTATCTTAATTTTATTTACTCTTTTTCTTTTCTTATCTGAATCTAGTTTATATTTTTTACCTATGAATAATTAAAGATTGAGAATCAATCCATAAAATTATGATCAAATAAACTATATTGAATTTTGTACTGATTGTCTTTTATTATAAATCTATTTTTCTTTTTTCTTGTTGACATTTGGGTTTTGTGATACAATTTGTAATATTTAAAAAAATAAATTAGGAATCATTTAAATCTTAATTTAATAAGTAAAAAAATATGGAATTGAATGATATTTTGATTTAGTTCATATAATCGATTTAGTTGATGGATTAAATTGATTAATTATTAAAACTTAAATCTAATAATTAAAGAATTATAAAATTTGAATTAGCTAGTTGTTATACTACTGCAGAAAAGGCTTTTTACGTCGGTTAAAATGGGTCTTCTACGTCGGCTAAAGCGACAACATAGATACATGGGTCATAGAAAGTAAGTCTTTCTACGTCGGTTAGTCAGGGAACCGACGTAGAAAGTCTTACTTTCTAACTTTCTATAACCCTAGTATCTATATCGGGTAACAGTAACCGTGATTGTATGTGATATCAATGTCGGTTATGCTTATAACCGACATAAAATGTTAAACTTTCTACGTTGGTTATGTCATTAACCGACGTAGAAAGTACTTTCTACGTCGGTTAATGACATAATTGACGTAAAAAGTGTTATTTTTTTTTACAGAGCCTGCATTTTCTTCACAGATCCTACCTTTCTTCGAGTAGACCTGCCTATTCATCATAGTTCCAGACAAATATTCAGAGTTCCAGACAGATATATATGTACATATATGAAACATATTGAAATCAATATATATGTACCTCAGTTCTAGACAGTTCATATTTACTTAAACGAATGTAAATTTGCTAACTTAAATCAATTCAATCAAAATTGTTACAAGTCAAATTTTCTATGAAGATTGAATACTTAAAAGGAAAGAAGTTCATTGCTCTCTAATATTGTCTAACACTTCAATCTTCAATGGAGATGAGTCTGTAAATTCCTACATATTGAAACATTTCAGATTTAGAAACCATTTACATAATTGGCATATTTGACTTAATTATAGTATATTTACCTCCCTCCATGAGTCAATAATATTTTTGGCTACGATGGTGTGCATGTGCTTCATCACATAATACCTGCACTCATGGCTTCCCGGTTGGCGTGGACACTACAAGTTAAATACATGTCAGATTAACTTTAAATGACAAATTGAACAACAGTAAGAGGAATGTTTGGTCACCTTTGGTGCAATATACGTCAACTTCTTTCTAGCATGAGATGGAAGGCCTTGCAACCTTAGGTGAGCTTCCAAAACTCTACAAAAGGACAAATAATTTTGGTGTAAGTGCACATATGATACAACAATTAAAAAAACCAAACTTACGCGTCTATGTGTTTTCTAATATCCAAATCATTTGTTGTTCGTCTATAATTGATCCAACTCTGATCCATTGTTACCTTCTGTCACATAACACAACATATAAGTATAGTTTGAGGATGATAACATCCAACATGTACTTTTGTTGAAATTGCGATGTCACGTGATTGGATATTTTAATCTTTCAATAGGAAGTTCTGTCCTACAATGAATCATTTCATGACTGACTCCAATTAAGGCTAATCGTATTGTCTCACATTAGGGTGAGCATAAGCGATGATAGTTTTCACTTAAAATGAAATAACTACATTATAATAAATCACGAAAGAATGCCTACAGAAACACGAAAGAATGCCTACTTAAAATGAAATAACTACATTATAATAAATCTAATTTTCAAAATCAAGATCACGAAAGAATGACTACAGAAACACATTCAAATGACTAAACTACTTAAAATACGTCTCTAAATTAGCTAAAGGCACCCGTGATCTTTCCATCTCTTGACAGCATTATTACATACCAGATTCAAAATTGTAAACCTACAATGGCTAAAGCAAGCACGAAAACTTACCTAGACCTATAGAGGTGGCAGGTGGCGTGACGTGCAGAGCTGGGTGGGGAGAAACGTACACAGGCGACGGGAACCAACGACAGTAGCAGCAGGCGGCACGACGTACAGAGTTGGCAGGTGGCGTGACGAGCGAGAGCTGGGTGGGGAGAAACGTACAAAGGTGATGACGTTCGTAGAAGAGACAGAGAGAACGGGGAGTTCTGCTATGGGTGAAGTGATGAAATGGAGCGTCGCGACAGGTGTAAAACAGAAGATACTATGTCGGTTGCCCTAACACCCGTCATCAAATACACTTTCCACTTACCATGTTGGTTACCTATTACCCGATATAAAAAGTTTATGATTTTATTACAAAATTGCCACCGCGCTACATACTATGACGGGTGGACTACGACCGTGATAAAAACTCGTCATAGAATGTTATTTTTCCACTAGTAATTTGTAGATTGATCTATTTTATTTTGTTAAAGTTGTCTTTGAAATTTTGTTCCTGGTTTCAATTTTAATTTTATAATTTTTTTACTTTGAAATCCCAAATTTAATTTAGAAAAAAAACTCAAAATTATGCTTTGTTATCAAATATTTTGAGAAGACTTAAAATATTTGACATGAATGACAATCAAATTAATAATGATGATAAAAAAATACTATTAGAATTAACTTAAAATCAATTAGCACGAAAGATTAAGATAAATAATATGAAACTTCTCTTCACATTTTCTTCAACTAAAGACAATTAAATAATGTGATCATTTAATTTAAAATTAATTGCATTGTGATATATTCATAAGTGTTACATTACTTAAGAATTGAGATAATTTATATATATTATCTTCTCTCAATCCAGACGCCTAACACAAAAATTCTAAAATATATAATATTTCACAATTTTACTACTTTCATTAATCTTTATTATTTTAGTAAAAAAACTTAATAATTATTGAACATACATACTTATATATTTATAAATTTAACTTCTCACTTTTTCATATTTTTTTATCTTTTTATATTTATTTATTATTTATTAATAATATATTATTTAATTTCTCCGTATTACTCATTAAAATAATCATTTATTGAATAAAATGACCAATAGATATATAAATTATATTTAGATAATTATGATAATGGAAGATTGTAGTTAGAACGATATTAGTGATGGAACATCAACATTAAAAACAGTAACACGGAGAATAACACTACTTGCAGATAAAGAATAATAATGAACCGAATAGAAAAATTCGCTTCTCCTAACCTATGTATAACTTATAATGTTAATTTTTTATACAACTCATAAGTTACCTACTATTTTATGTGTCGAT